CATGCTGGGATGCTAAATGGCAGAAGGGCACAGCAGACACAACCTGCTTACATCAAGGAGGCCAGAATGCAAAGAGAAGCAGCCAGGAAAGGATAACTGCCTTTCTAGATCACACCCTAGTGACCACCTCTTCTGTCAGATTCGCGTGCTGAAGGCACACTCAGCAGTGGACGAACCCACCAGTGATTACAGCACCCCATGGTCCAGTTGCCTTCCAACCACATGAAATCTGGGGAAACACTTCAGGTCAAAATGTAGCATCATGGTCTTACTTTTTGCACTGCTGAGACAAAACACCCAAAACCCAAAGACAGAAGAGGAAAGAGTTACTTCAGTTCACAGTTTGCAGAGGTTTCAGTCTACAGAGGGGTGGCTCAGGGCAGGGTGGCAGAGTGGCACGACAGGAGAAACAGTCCATGGGAGGGCTGGCAGAAGGCAGCAGGCAGCAGAAAGCCCTTTTATCCCATGCAAGGCACAAGCCTTTTGGGTGGTGCCAGCCACATCCAGGTTGGGCCATCTCATTACCCACACTCAGAACCATGCTCCAACTAGGCCCCACCTTCTATTAGCACACTGGGCTTTGAAAGTTTGTGGATTAATATGCTAAGTGAGCATAAGGCCCCATGATGTAGTCACCTCCCCAGGAGTCTTGTTATCCAGTCAAGTTGACAGTTAAGATTAATTGACACAAATGGGAAAGCAAGTCACATAGCAAGCGGTCATGAATACGGGACAGGTCTCTCCCTGTTGGGGGTTGGAATGCGGGACTGGGTCTTTTCCTGTTGGGGGTTGGGCTAGTGACTCATTTGGCCCATTTGATACTGGATTTAATCAGTTTTACCTGAGCAATGGTGCTTGTAATCCCATTGGCTGACCTCCCACCTCCCACCCACCTAAGCGAGTTTTGTCCCACCTCCCACCCACCTAAGCGAGTTCCCATTCTCTCTACCTTAGCCCCACATGGTTTTACACTATAAAAGTCCCTGGAAGAGACAGCTTCCCAGGGAACTACCTGCTCAGGAACCCCCTCCTGTCCCTCTCTTGGACAGGAGCTTTCTTTCAATAAATATATTCTGCTCATTAAAAAAAAAAAAAATTTAACTGACACACCACCCCATGAGAATTCTTACGCTTAGCCTCACCAGCAACGTAATTCTCCATGTCCTTTGCAACCACAAGCATTTTTTACCTAAAGAAAAGAGACTGAGGACTTACCTTTGAGTATCACTAGTAGCGCTGTTTGAAGTGTTTACATTCATGATAAGCCTTCCAACTCTTAAAAATATCCCACTATTTCTGAACGGTACACTTCTTTATTAATGACTGAAATTGTCCAAGATGTCTATGGCTCTCAAACTGGATGGACTTCAGTCTGTTAAAAAATAATATGACGTCTGTTTTATATTTGAATCCTGAGAATATGAGTGATTTTTCATCTATGGCCTGTTTGTTAATTTTTAAATTACACAAAAAATGTAATTTTAAGAGCTATGTTTACTTTTAAAAGTACTGAAGGGCGAGCCAGACAGCTCAGAGGATTAAAGTGCCTGCTTAGGCAGAGCACAGCGGCTGGGGTTCAATCCCCTAATGTGCCGTGCCAGCCCCACACCCAGGGCGCACTGAGATAGTGATTGAGACTGGGCATGTTGGTGCGTGCCTGTAATCCCAGCGCTTGGGAGGCTGAAAATAGAATCACTATCCGATCTATGTAGTGAGATGCTGTAGACCCTGAACTACAATAATTTTTTTAAAAGTACTAAAAGCAAAATTGACAAGTTGTTAACATGTTCCTTCTTGTAAGAACACAGTAATGACTTTTAGATTTTAATCTTTCAAAACTGTTACAATAGTGAGATTTTCTGGAACATGGAAAAAATATATATGTATGCTATCTTGAGCACATAGAATAGGTTCCAAAGAAAGTGAAATCCAAAGACATTTTGGTCCCCAAAACCTTCTCATACCTGAGATATTTAGAAGGCAACACTGCAAGCAAAGAGACCAAAGTGCCCCCAAACAAAGACCCCATGGTAATTTTCTTTTTTTTTTTTTTAATTTCAGATGCTTTTTATTCAAAGAGACTCAAAAGAAAATAGAAAAAGGCAACAACCCAATGAAACATCTTTTGCCATTCAGTAAGCCCTAGAAGAGAGTTATTCTGAAATAGAAAAGTTAGCACTCATAAGTCCATGGCACTGGCAGAACAAAAACTTAAAAATTCACTTTCCTGGTTATATACCAGCAGATATCTCTATGAAAATTATTTTTATTTTTTTTTTAATTTTATGTGTGTGTGTGTGTGTGTGTGTGTGTGGCCAGCTCAGCCCACCAGGGGGCGGGGCTGGCTGGCATGTAGTGCTGGGGGATCGAACCGCGGTCCCTGTGCTTTGCCAAGCCTGTTCCTGTTCCAAGTAGGTGCTTTAGACCACTGAGCCATCTCACCAACCCCTCTATGAAAATTATTTTTACTGATCTATATAAAATATCTTTCTTCATAACAATTTTTCATAATTTCAGCCATGGCAATTTTCAAAGACCTTATTCCAAAGACATAAAAAAAAAAAAGAAGAGGGCTGGGGAGATAGCTCAGCAGTCTAAGCACCTGCCTGGCAAGCATAAAGACCTGGGTTCAATCTCCAGTATCACACACTGTGTTAGCCCTGGAACTCCAGTGCTGACCACCAAAAGCCCAGTGCTGGGGAGGCTGAGACAGAAGGATCACTATGAGTCCAATCTTCATAGCAAGATCCTGTACCAAATAAATTTTTTAAAAAATGATTTTTAAAAATTAAAATGAGGGCCGGGGAGATGGCTCAGTGGAATAAGTGCTTCCCTGGCAAGTGCAAGGATCTGAGTTCAATCCCCGGTTCTGCCAAAAAAAGAAAAAAAAAATTAAAATGAATAACTTGAATTAACTGTATAAGTAATTTAAAATTCCAGATGACATACAATGTCAGTCTTTTTCATCAATAGGTATAACTCTAAACATTATCTCCCACTTGAAAATAATCAATCGATCAATATTTATGAACAATTTGCTACATGAAAATTACTATCTGCATCATCATTCCAACTGTAACAAAAAAATCTCTTCTCTGGAGATTTGCTGAAGACTTTCTATGGATTATTTTATTCCACCATATGCCAACCCCTAGGGGAAGATACAGTTACTAACTCTACTCTGAACATGAGGATGCGCAGATTTAAATCTATTCAGTCACTTGCACAAGAGTGACAGATCTAGGAGGTGACAGTGTCAAGATTCACTCTCAGGCTGGCTGATCCCGGAGCTCCACTGAGGGTCCTCCCACCCATTTCTAAGACCTGGTTCACCCTGGCCAGAAGCATGAGAGACCTTGCCTTCTGGCCTCCCTAGAGGCACTTCTGCTGCCTGCTACAGGTTTCTCAAATACAGATCACCCTTCTCCACATTCAAACTACCGAGTCAAGGTGTTTTCTACAAGTAACTCTGGCCTTCAGGGGATTCTCAATCCAGATGCCACTGTTATAAGCTTGAGTCAAAAACAGGCCATCTTGTAACAGCGATAAGGAAAAAATTCAATCAGCTTTCTGTGCTAATATACTGACAAATAAATCTTTCGGCTGTAGGGTTGGATTTTTATCACTGCTATCAAAATAGATGATAGGGGGCAGGAGAGATGGCTCGGTGGTCTAGGGCACCTACTTGGAACAGGCTTGGCAAGGCACAGAGACAGCGGTTCAATCCCCCAGCACCACATGCCAGCCAGCCCCGCCCCCTGGTGGGCTGAGCTGGCCACACACACACACCACACTCTCTCTCTCTCTCTCTCTCTCTCAAATAAATAAAAAAAAAAAAAAAATAGATGATAGGATGTTACATGTATCACTCTTCATACAGGACATTGAAGCTAGACCCCATTTCTCTCAACATACACAAAACAGCAATCAGAGTGGTCCAAAGATGTAAAAAAAAATAAAATAAAATAAAATAACCTGTTGAAAGGTAAAATAGCTAAAACTCTTGAAGGCACAGGCATAGCCAAGGACTTACTGAAAGAACACAAACTGCACAAGGAAGAACACTGAGAATCAGCAAATAGGACTGCACCAAATCAAAAAGGCTTCTGCACAGCATAAGTTGTTTTTGTAAAAAATGGCTACCAGGGCAATCGAGCCCAGAAAACAAATGTTCTGGGCATCCTAACAGGAAGTTTCAGTCAGAAGGAAGATTTTACTTTCAATGTCAGAGCCACTGCTGGTATACGTTTCCTACCTCATGTCTGCATCCTTGAGTCGCTCAATGTATTTCTGTCTTTGCAAGGTCAGAAGAAAAAGGAGGGGTGAATGAAGACAGGCAAGTCACTTTTCCAGCTAAGCACACTGGCTCTCAGACAAGCTACCTAGGAACTCTAACAAGATTACTTAGAACATAATGAGAAAATTGAGAGCTCCAGGCATTGAAGAACTCATGGGCAAATGAGAATAATTCACTGGGTGAGTTAGAATTCCAATCCACATCTGGCTGACCATTTAGAGCCCTGTAAAGAAATTCGAACATGCCTGGTGTGGTGGCACAGGCCTGTAATCTCAGCACTCAGGAGGCTGAAGCAGGAGGACCATCAAGAGTTGGAAGTCAGCCTGGGCACCACAGTGAGTTCAGGACCAGCCTGAAGTGCATACTGGGACGCTATCTCAAAAAGAAAAAATTAAACCTCACATCCTCTATGTTTTATTTATCCCTTGCTAGAAAAAACCTGTAACTCCCCGAGCACATAGCCTTTATTAACCATTTCAACTACCAACACAAGGGTGATTTACCGGAAACACCATCATCTTCCACCCCTTCCAGACTAACGCAATCAGCAGATTACCAGCCACCAGGTCTCTTCAATCATTTAAACGCCCTCTTGACTAAGGGTAAAAGTTGAGTAAAGACAGTATTTCAGAATTCTAGTTTCACTTTGCTGGCTTTCCTTGCTCAGACAACTCCTCGATTCATTGAGCCCTTTTCAAGTTGTTGGTCAACGGATTGGATTCCGTAACACTATCCCCATCTTTTTTCACTACACAGTCTTCCTACAGTCCTCCTTCGTGATCACACCTGTCGGGCCTTTCTTTCAGCAGTTACATACACTATTTCACCTTTAAAAGGTGGTGTTTGGTTCCTTCAAAAAAGAAAAAAGACCAAGACAAAGGGGCTAAGACAAAGAATCTTATAATTGAGTGGGACTATAGAGACCAAACCCACTTTTTATACGACAGGCAAGAAGTCTGAACCCAGGAAGGTTTGGGGATTTGCCTGAGATCACATAGCTAATAAACGGCTGAGCCAGCCTTAGTACAAAAAGCTCCAGGCTAACAGTACTCCTTCTTCGCTTTCCCTCCTAGCAGTCTGCCCTGGCTTTGTTTCCTTGCATTTCAAGGGCAACCAAGTTCATGTCCCACTCCCTCCTGTTTTGTTGTTACTAGGCACTCACTGTAAAACAAATGGCAAAACTAGGAGTTCTTTA